AACCCCCTGCTCAAAGCAGGATCAATCCTCAACTAAATCCCCAAATTGCCCCTTCAAGGATTGAACTCACAACCCTAGGTTTAGCAGGCCAATGCTCATATGTAACTCCATTAAAGACAACTCCATTAAAGACAATGGAGTTATTATTATAAAACAGGCATAAAGTGTTAGGAGAATCATAGTATGTGCCTCACTGGTATGGCAGCTGGTATCAATGAGATCTGGGAAGTGCAACATCTTAAAAAAAAATGTGAGTACTGGTCATGCATAATCTTTGTCTTTAATCCACTCTGGAATTCTTAGAAGTAACAGGTATTTCCATATGGACACTATTTCTGGAAGTGGTTTTTATAGAATCATAAATCATCTAAGGATATGTCACCTAAAGCATTTACCCAATACTTTAGAGTAAATATATTATTACCTGGTTTCTCTAGATATGTTCTAGATGATGAATATATCAGCTCTTCGGGTGCCAAATTTCCAGTCAAATGGTCATCTCCTGAAGTTTTTCATTTCAACAAGTACAGCAGCAAGTCTGATGTCTGGTCATTTGGTGAGTGGGTCAGTTTAAACTAATTTGCAACACATCACTTTGCTCATAAAAACTGCAGCACATAACTTTTATAGTAAATTATTTGTTGCACAGTTACAACTATCTTGAGTTTTAATGAGTCAGTTTCATATTAACAATCTAGTCTAAATTGCAAGAGACTGTCCATTTTGAATAAAGCAGTACTTCTTGGGTGGGATAGGGAAGCAGGAGGCCACGATCCAAAATTGAAGGGATGGAATAACTAGCCTCTTCCACAAGTTGGAAACTGAGGGCTCCCAATGGAAGGATTCCTAAGAAATTCCATGAGCTGAAATTTGCTGCGTTTCCACTCCTTTCTACAGGATCCATGGTTCTACAGTTCCATTGTTAAGAGAAAACATTGTCTACCAGACCACAATGCTTTATCTAAACCTCTTGTTACTTGAACTTAGCTTATGACTGCAATGTGGATTCTTTACAGTCAGAAGTCTTCACTTATCAAAATCCACATTCATCTCATAAATTCATAGATTCCCAGGCCAGAAGGGGCCATTATGATCATCTAGTCTGAACTCTTGTGTAACACAGGCCATAGATCTTTCCCAAAATAATTTGTAGAGCCGATCTTTTAGAAAAACATCCAATCTTGATTTAAAAATTGTCAGTGACAGATAATCCACCATAGCCCTTTGTAAATTGTTCCAATGATTAATTACTTTAACTTTTTAAAATGTATGCCTTATTTCCCATCTTTGTCTAGCTTCAACGTCTAGCCATTAGATCATGTTATACCTTACTCTGCTAGACTGAAGAGCCCATTATTAAATATTTGTTCCCCAGGTAGATCTTATAGACAGTAGTCAAGTCACCTCTTAACCTTCTCTTTGTTAAACTAAATAGATTGAGTTTTTTGAGCCTATCACTATAAGTCATGCTTTCTAATTCTTTAGTCATTCTCACGCTGACCCATCTCCAATTTATCAACATGTCACTGGGACAGCTCCACAGCTGCTATAAATTGGTGCAGCTACATTGAAGTCAATGTAGCTATTCTCATTTATATCAGCTGAGGATTGATCTAGTCCTGTCTCTCAATGCAGTTCAGATGTACAGTTGTCTCCTGTATTATCCAGGACACACAATCTCTAGTGTTCATGCATCTTAATATTATGGAATAGTTTTGTGAACATTTAATTTTCTGGATTATTCCTAGGAGTTTTAATGTGGGAAGTTTTTACAGAGGGCAAAATGCCTTTTGAAAATAAGTCAAATTCTGAAGTTGTCCATGAGATTTCCGAAGGTTACAGACTTTATCAACCATATCTGGCATCACTTACTGTGTACAAAGTCATGTACAGCTGCTGGCATGAGGTGCGTTTCTCTTATTTTCCTGTTCTGTATATTGATATTCCATCACCAGGGTCCTCATTCTAAATGTGTAGTTAAAGACAATCATTGAGAGCAGGGAAATTAAATACCTACTTTACATTTGTGATATCCTCAGAATCTTTGATGTGTTTTTCATATATCCTGGCTAATGTTAGAAGCTTCTGCTTCTTTTAACTATTAAAAACCAATAAATATAAATAATTCTTTACATCACATCAATCACCAGTCAATCTGATCACCTGACCCTCTGTCTGAATCCCTCCATGATCTTTCCCTTCTCCATCCCCTTCTCCCTATTCCATATAATCAAGGCCTTATATAACTATTTCCCAGCTTATATGTTGAACCTGGGGCATGGTTCTCTGTGGTCCAGTGCCTTGTGCAGTCATTTATGTGAGTACAAAGCATAGACAACTACCATTCTGATTTAGTAGTGTTTTACATTCACTTTGCATAGGTGTGAATGACTATACAAGGTGCAGGGCAGCAAAGAACCTGGCTCTACTCTTATTCCATCCCTTCCACACCCCTCTATTCTGCTAATGTTTCCTGACTTAATGCCATGTTTATCTGCTTCTCCCACAATTGTCTGTGCCTTTTTTTAGGCTTGCTTCCTTACGTGGAATTCCCTCCTAATACGGCCAACTAAACTACTAACCTCTCGTAATTTGAATCCCTCTGTAAGACCCACTTTTCCCATGCTGCTGACAGAAGTCTATAATTTTAAATATATAAAAATCTTTTTTAGATGTACTTTTAACTCTTCCATCTAAATAGGCACATACCTAGAATGAGTAACAGTGTAATCTTAATGCTGTAGCTCTGTCCTTCCTTCCCACATCTCCTCTCTAATGTGTATCTAACAGCTTATAAAATATCTGCTCTAGGTGTTGGATAGCTACAGTACTTCTAAGTTAAAGCTACTATATCTTAAGGGATTTAAACAGAAAATGCATAATTTGCTCTCTTCTGGGATGCCTCCTGGGATGCTAGCCACATGCCATCCTTACCTTCCCTATATCAGCCAATGGAGCTTGCTGGCTGACTGTGCTGGGAAACATGCTCCATCCCTTGCAATGGTATAGCTCTGAGTCTGGGAGCACAGTATTCCAGAGAGCCCTGGTAGACACTGTGGCCTGGTCTACACTGGGGGAGGGGGTCGATGTAAGATACGCAACTTCAGCTACGGGAATAGCGTAGCTGAAGTCGATGTATCTTATTTCGACTTACCTCCCATCCTCACGGCGTGGAATTGACGGCCACAGCTCCCCCATCAACTCCGCTACCGCCGCTCACCCTGGTGGAGTTCCAGAGTCGACAGGAGCGCGTTCGGGGATCGATATATCGCATCTCGTCTAGATGCGATATATCGATCCCCAATAGATCGATCGCTACCCACCGATCCGGCGGGTAGTCTGGATGTACCCTGTGATTCTGAGGCACAGTGCTTCTCAGAGCCCCTATTAGGGTGGTGTGGCTATAGACAACTCCCAATGCAGGGCTGAAATGAATATCACCTAAACAGACCTTAGGGTTGGTCTACACTAGCGCTTAAGTCACTGTAACTTAAGTCGCTCAGGGGTGTGAAAAATACACCCCACTGAGTGACGTAAGTTAAATCGACCTAAGCGCTGTCCACACTGGGGTTATGTCAGTGGGAGACGCTCTTCTGCCAACATAGCTTCCACCTCTCACGGTGTAGTTGTGCTGATGTAGAGCTTGAGTGTAGACTTGCCCTTAGATTCACATTTAAAAGGTGTCTATGCTCATGATGCTGTTGTTCAGAAAGCACCCCAATCAGCTAACACACTTACATGACAAAGCCAAGATTTTCCTTAAAATGACAAACATACACATGTACATTTGCAGAAAGAAAAGTTGTAACAGTGTTCTGGGTAGTCTGCTTATAAAAGTCTTTTCTTATGTCAGATCAGCCTGTACTATAGAGTTGCCCTCTGCTTTGTTTTTCAGAAACCTGACGGTCGCCCTGCTTTTGCTGAGTTACTTCAGACCCTCACAGATATAGCTGAGACTGGATAATCAGACTTTCTATACATATGTATTCTCATTGCAGAGATAGCATGAAGCCCCTCATGTGGTAATTCTCAGTCTTTTACAGTCCTAGCTAGTTATAGCCATCAGCAGCACTGTAAATATTGAGGAATCTGAGTAGTTAGTCTGTTTTTATTTTCAGGGTTCATCACATTTTTAGTGTTTTGGGGGAAATGGATAGTTCAGGGGATCGGTGATGGGCTCTTGACCTTTTTGCCGCAAGGTTGCTAGTTCAAATCAAGACCAGGTTCATGATGATCAAGTCTATGCTGGAGAGGAATAACCAAGGTTCCTTCTAGTACATGGCACATAGGTCTAAATTGCACAACAAACCCTTCTGCTTTATATGGCAGATTTACACTAAATTCTGCAACAATGCCATTGATTAAGAAATCATTTGATAATTGGTCTGGCTCATAGATTGGGGAATGGGGACAGGTGGCAGCAAAAGAGACTTGAGCACCCATTATGGATTTCTATATGGGTATTGGAAAGACTAGGTGAGTGAGATAATATCTTTTATTGGACCAACTTCTGCTGGTGAAACAGACAAGCTTTTGAGCTACAGAGAGCTCTTCCTCAAGTCACTGTACATGTCGTCATACACATTTGAACACAGGACCTTAGGCACTGTAACACAGACTTCTGTCATTTGAGTCTAAAGAGCAACTTAAGATAGTAGAAATAGTAAGCTTTTGTCATCTAGCAGACCAGTCATTAAAGGGAGACAACCTAATTTGCCTGTGTGCTATACATTCTCTTAGAGGAGGGGTGGGAAGGCATGCAGGAAGAGGCAGATATCCTAATAGCTCTTACATGCCATCTGAATGGAATGCCACTCGAACAATTTAGGAGCTGCATAGCTGGTGAATGTGCCTGCCTGTGTGCCTTAGGAGCACGAGAAAACAACCACAATCTCCTGCAAGCTTGTTTTTGCTTTCTCCAAGGCAGAGTTTCCCATGCCACCCTTCTGCCTCTTGGAGCTGCATACTTAACTAACAGCCTCCTTCAGTCAGCTATACTGAACCCGCCCGGTGGCATGCCAGTGGACAAGCTGAAGAGATGGAAAATGGAACCTTTTTGTATTTGTGGTGCATAAGTAATTTTTTGCAAAATCATGGCAAAAAGATAAGTTATCTGTCCCATTTGTGTAACCAATACTTGTTATAATTAGAACCCTGCTGTGAACAACAATTGCACTGGTAACTTTTGTTTTCCTTGTACATCGTATATTTGTGGTGGCCAATGTTAGTGTGAGAAAAGCTTATTGTTTGTAGCTGTACCATCTGTTAAATTTATAATATAGAAGAGAAAGAGCACTATAGAAAAGGAAAACTAAACTCACATACTGCGTATATAATCATATGTATTTATACATAGCTGAATGTATATATTTGTATTTTACAGCAACTTGTAGGGAGACAAAATATTTAAAACCTATTGATTGAAGAACATTCTGCATGACTCCTACAGTTTTACCTTTTTATTCTAAATAAAAATAAACATTGTCAGTTTTTGGAATTATGCCCAATGATAGATTCCTTGGACTAAATTCAGCCCTGACGTAAGCCTGGGTAACTCCCACTGATGATAATAGTGTGCAATATTTTTAAGCAATGTGATTACCTGCAGTTATTTGAAGAATGTAAATATCAAAGAGGAAGAGGAAATGTTTAATTATTTCATGTACGCCTTTGGAAAGTTGCCAGTTCTTTTGGCTGCATTGTGAAAGCATCTCAGTTTCAAGAGAAACTAGAGTTCCTTATTCCTTTATATAACCTTTTAAAATAATTTTAACCAAGTTATACCACTGTTTGCTCTTAGAATGGACTCCTAGTACATATTTTATTCCATATCAAATGTATGTCTGAATACAGATTGGTACAATACACTAGTCAGGAGAAAAGAGTAGTGTGCCTGAAAAAGCACAATGGATGCAAGTTTTCCGTTTAATTACTGCAATCCTTCTGCCCACTCCAGTGACATGTTAATCTTTTCAGCAGGTGTTGCTGTATAAACAACAACAAAGAAATTATATCCATAGTGCAAAGCATACGAGTATGTTGCAAATTGCATGAGGAGTTCTATAAGATCGTATTGAAGTGGTTTTGCTAAGTTGTTTGTTACTGCATGCCAATATGTAGCTAGGAGACATCACCCAACTGTGAAAGCAAAGAAGATAAGAAGTGGGAGGGCTGTGAGTTGAGCTTGTGACTGCTACACAGTGAATACATACAAATTGCTCAAATGTTTCCACGTGTGTTTCTCTGTTATGCTGAGCTGTAGTTTGCTTAGTGGGCCTTAGACCCTTTCAGTATTGGAAAGTAAGGTAAAAGGTGACTATTGTTGTAGAAAGCGAGAGCCTGAGACATAGGGCCTAGTATAAAAAGGCCTTGTGTAAGGCCTAAGGCCCAAACAGAGTCAAGCCCTGCTACTATAAAGCACAATTAGCAAGAATCAGGCCAACTCAGGCCCTGCCCAGTTACAAAGCAGAGGCTTGCTTTGCAGGTTCACTATCCAATAGTGGAGCTTGGCAAGAATAGGGCTGGCGTTGCAAAAAACACAAGAACTCCTACACACTAAGTATTCATGTAAATACATTCTAGAAGAGTAGTGCCAGAACAGCCCGATACAGGTTTATGGTGTAAACACTCTTCAAAGATGACACAAGCACACACTGACCCCTCTTAAAGAAAAGGGCAGGATGACAGGGTGATGGATAGAGATGTTTTGATTGAACCAACTGGTACAAGGTAAAGGGTGGTAATTAACCACGGTGGAGGGGCAATATGTAACTTGTTTGTATCAGTGTATAAAAGAGGAGTCTTTGTCTGCTTGAGGGGGGGAATGGAAAGTCCTGCCATTCACTGAGCTGAGTCCATTGTCATAGGCATACATGTGCTAGTGTAACTGTAGACATTGATCCAAGGAGCTAGGCCCTTGCTTCATTGGCAATAAACTTGGCTGAGTGCCTTTGCTACAGAACTGAGCCTGTGGTCTTTTTGGGTAGTTCAATTGAGATCGGGGGGTTTGGTATCTGCACAGAGCCAGCACGGCAAACAGGAAGAACACACATATGCAACTACAAGTCCCTTTATTTATTCTGTTTTACTTTAATTGTGCATTTATGTTTAGCTCATGAAAATAGGTAAAGTGAGTTTTTAAAATGCTAGCAATATAAGTTTTAAGGATGTACTGGAAAGTCACGTTAAGTTTGGAAATCCCCTTTGGAAATTTTAGACATGGTCTGCAGACGCCCCGAGGGCACAGGTTGAAAATGACTGATCTATATCTTCTAAGGGTACATCTACACTACAGGGGGGAGTCGATTTAAGATACGCAAATTCAGCTACGTGAATAGCGTAGCTGAATTCGACGTATCGCAGCCGACTTACCCCGCTGTGAGGATGGCAGCAAAATCGACTTCTGCGGCTTTCTGTCGGCGGCGCTTACTCCCACCTCCGCTGGTGGAGTAAGAGCGCCGATTTGGGGATCGATTGTCGCGTCCCAACGGGACGCGATAAATCGATCCCCAAGAGGTCGATTTCTACCCGCCGATTCAGGCGGGTAGTGTAGACCTAGCCTAAGTGACCACAAAGGGAAGAGTCAAAGACCCCACTTATTGGCATGTGCAGCACAACTGGTCACTACATCTGAAGTACCTGAGCTTTGCCCACATATGGCATGGAAGGTCAAAATGAGGTGGCTGGACTGCAGTGGGCTAGAAGCAGTTAAATTAGAGAACAAATCCAAGCTAACTTTAATATGAGAGGCTCCCATGTTCACAAATCAATGAACTTGCAATAATTTTCTCAGAGAGCTGATCAAGGCACACCTATCCTGAAACTTTGGAGGAGAGAAGGTAGTAGTTTAGATAAATATAACCAAATTACAGTGTGTGATTTTAGCAACTACTCATCTTCACTTACCCGTCCCTTCCCCCATCATATGCTATTATGATGTCAGTTCTTGCCTCCCTTCAGCGAATACCAACGGATACTAGCTTTCATTGTCCTCTTGTTAAAATTTTCAACTAGGGACCTTCCTGGTTTCTCCCATGTTTCCCCTCTTGCACGGGAAGAGTTCCCTGTAAACAAACAGCCACAGAGCTCATTGTCCTCCTTAAAACCCCCCTTTGCTGTGATGCCTACCAATCCCACCCCCCCAAAAGCCATAACACACACAACAATGGGTAGACAGCTGATATAGCAAGACCATTGCCTATCATGCTGACCAGTATTGTCTTGCGCTACCCACTCTGCCTGTACCCATCTGTTGTCTCAGATCTTCTTAGATTTTAAGATCCTTGGGACAGGGACAGTCTGTTTGTATAGTGCCTACCACAATGGGGTCCTGGTCCATAACAGGGTCTCCTAGAAACTACTGAAATACATAAATCTTTCTCCTACCCTAGTTATCACAGTTAAGTGACAGATACTAGAGGTTTTGTTGTCAGTATCTTACTGACCACTAACTTATCTCTCACTCAGATACCTTCTCAATATACAAAAACTTTAATTTGGAAGTAGCTAAGGTTGCCACACATTCTACTTGACATAACCCACAAAAACAAGTGAATGCAAAGTTAAACCACTTAACCATACACACTCATTTCCTCCACACTATCAGTTCTGCAACTGCTGTTCACCATGCTCCATGTACCACACCCTCCAGGCTCTCCCTGAGCCTGCTCTTCTGTACATACTCCTTTACAAGATTATTTCCTCCCCCCCCACAAAAAACAAAAACAAACCAACCCACCACACACACCCCCGCTAGTTGGAGATGTTTGGTGCAGCAGCTGGTTGTGGTAGGAGAGGGCTGTTTTGTAAAGGGATGTGTGCAGAAGGGCAGTTAAAGGGGGTGATGGAAGAATAGCATTCCTTGGGGGAGGGGGGGGAGTTAAGGATGCAATGTGTGCCTGTGGTGCATGATAGTTGTAGTAAATGCGTGCTTGTAATTGTAGGGGTAGAAATTATTACTGTCAGGGTAGCATAACTTTTCATGTCCTTGCTTTTGTGTCAGATACATTATGTATCTAGGAACTCTAACTGCTTCACAACCAACCACATTTTTTGTGTATTTGCTTGTTTGAAGAAAAAAATTGGGGGGTGGGGGAGAAGCTGGGCAAGAGGTAGATTATCAGGACCAGGGGATGAGTGGCCTGGCATAGGCGGGGGCTGAAAGGTAAGGGGCCAGGAGCTAATTACCAGAAATCAGGCTGGGCTGGAATACTAGAAGGTGAAAAATCAAACCTGGAGGGCAGGGATCAAGAGTCGGTTACCATGAATCAAGCCAATTGAGGATACCAGGAGGTCAAGTTAAGGTGACAGAACCAGAGGGCAGGAACCTGAAGGCAGTTACTAAGAGTCAGGATACCAGGAGGTCAGGATCAGAGGGCAGGAACTGGTAAACACCAGCCCAGCGGTCGACACAGGATGAAGTCCAGTTGTATGGACAACTTAGTGTTTTGGCATAACTAGGACTGTGACACCATCAGGAGCCTTGGCGCTCTCCCAGTCAGAGACTAGAGGTCAGGCTTGTACCCCAGTTGGACTTAATGGACCTGGCTCCCAGCTGCCATCTCTGAGCTGCTGGGGTGGAAGATTGGAGTATGGAGACTCTCAGGAACCCCACAAATCTGGGGTTTGAAACTGGTAGGGCCCCGATATGGATGAATCTATGAGGGATAACTACAGCTACTGACAGGGAAGATTTTAATCCCTCAGCAGTTTCACATGAATGCTTAGGTAATTTTTATGCTGTAGGGAAAGTCTAGCTCCTGAGGGAGGGAGGGAGGACATACATAGCTATAACTAGTAATTGCTGAAAGTCACTTTAAATCCAAATTAAAGAAACATCACCAGTTGCCCCAGATCTGCTCAGGATTCACCTCTCTCACAGGTTTTGTGTAGATAAAACTTTAAAAAAACAAAACACAACACAAGTCCAGTCAACAATGAGAAGTAGAAATGCCACAGACAAATTTCAGCCAGAGCCCAATTTTCAAGAGTTTTATTAAATATTATAAAGAAAAACCAAACAAAAGCTACTCAGAAAATTCAAAGGGCATAAAAACTGACCTTGGGCAAAATTACACATAGATAGGTCATCTACTTTTAGATTAAAAAACCATGAATTTATATCCCATTTTAGAATGCAGTCCTAACTATGGAGTCATAGCCATCACCTCCATAATGTATTTGGGTAGAAGTTATGTATATCTGCATGTCAATTTATGGGATTTTGAGGGGGGGGATGGGTGCATCTATATTTTTGCAACTATACCCATTGTGTCCTCCTTTGAAAAATATGCCTTTACATGCTAGTCTATTGTTGAGGGGTATTTCCAGGTCCCTGAAAACACTAAGAGGATATTGGCTATAATAAGGTTTCAAAATCAAGTTCATAGAGTATAAATATTTATAGTTATCCTGAACCATTTAGGGGCAGGACTTATAATTCATGAGTGTCCTGTCTGTGGGAGAGCAGAACCATTGTTCCACCCAGTGGTGTATGAATGACTCTCTCTGGTTTAATCTCTGGAAACATATCAGTTACAATTAATGTAGGAAATTCATTGATTTGGGTTGTTCCAATGTCAACTCCATGCCAGGAATGGGCATTTCCTGCATGACCACTAATATGTTCAGAAGTCCCAGGACCATTTGATGTGTTCTTACACTTCTTGCACCACATTCTAAGGCACCCATAGAGCAGTACCATGGCTAATATGATAAAAAGGACACTGCTGATGAGCCAAATAACCATAGCCAGGTCAATCATCTTGCTGGCTGGAAACACAGCATCTCTGGCCATTGTATGAAAAATGGTACACTGACCTCTAGAAGGCTCTATCCCCTGGCAATGCAACACACAGGATATAGTTTGTAGATCGTGTTAGCCTCTGCAAGGTCAGGAAGTCATGGCTCAAAAAGGTATACGTTCCTCCTAGTGAAAATTCTGTCACAAAACACCAGACAAGATGCTGTTCCAACTGGGCCAGTATAGGACTGTAAAACTCATTAGGATAGGTATAATGGTCGCCCACGAAGCTGAAGTAAGGATGATATTCTTAATGTTAATTTCATCATCATAATTCTTTTATCTGAAAGAAGAAACACATTTGATATTTTAAAATGTTATACAACACACATTTCTGTGCAGATGCACCTAAAGTTATTTATCTAATATACATTTTAAATACAGACCTAAATGTATTTCAACACTGGGAACAGAAATACCATAGCCTATTTATAACACTTAGCTGGCTAATGAAAAAAAACCTCTGCCCTGTTATACAAAAGATACAATTTAATGCCCATCTTGGGTTTAGATTTAGTATTACTTTGATACCAATGTCATCTTATGGCTACCTATTATATAAGAAAAAAACATATGTTTTGTGGCAGAAGAAGCTAGCTAATCCATCTATGGCTGTCTCCTTCTTTGTGTAAGCAGTTCTATGTCATAGCATCTTTTCACATTAAAGATATACACAACACTTTTAAAGGTGACGTATTTTTGCCAGTTACTTCCTTTATACATTAGTGGTTTTACTTATGAAACAGAAAAAAAAAAAGCTGTGGCATTAATGCAGGAAAGTCCCCAACAGTCACATTCACACTTTAAAGCAAGCACTACTACAATGTTTTGTTATGAGCCACAGTTAGACTGTTTAATGTTTGTTTTTATTAGGAACTAACAGGTGCTATTGCTTTCCTGTTGTCTTAGAAACACCCCTCTGCCCTACCATAGTCCAGATCAGTAAAAAGCTAAACTCTGGAATGGATTGTGCCAGAAGCTGGGTTGATAGTTACCTGTTCTGTTCACTCCCTCTGTGGCACCTGGCATTGACCAATGTCAGAAGACAGGATACTGGGCTAGATGGACCTTTGGTCTGACCCAGTATGGCCATTCTTATGTGCAGTGAGCTGGACTGGAGCCATTTGCGTCACACTTACCTTGACACACATGAACCACATAAAGAGGTTATTTATCTCCATACAGCAGAGAGAGAGAGAGAGAGAGTCACAGAATAATTCAGAAGAGCAGGTTCCTTTTTCCTGGGTAGAATTCATGTCCCTGAGAGGAAAAACACAAAAACAAACAAAAGGTTATTGAACATTTGTGGCTTAGTTCTGCTTTCCAAAAAGATGACATCCCTCACTCCACAGATTGCAAAACCAGCTGCCATACTCAGATGTCAGCACTGTAGCTGATTTCACAAGCTGCAGAGCGATGGATACTTACATGCTGGAGAAAATTGTTGTGTTAGAGCAAGACTTAAAAAGAAAAAAGTGAGCACTTAAATGGGGTCCTAAGTCCATATTTAGATACCTAACTAATTGACTTAATTTTCAAAAGTACTGAGCATCCAGCAGCATCCTCTCAGAAATAATATGTGACAACCTAACTCAATGAGAGTTGGATCAGGTGATACCAGTCAGCTCTATGTTCTTGGGGAACCAGGGCGCAGTATCCAGCCTGTCTGACTCATGAAAGATCTCACCCCCGCCTCCCAGCCGCTGCTTAAACCAAAACCCATCAGAGAAAAGACTTGCAGAGAGCAATGAAGGGCAGATGGGAGACACACCTAGACCCCTCCTGACAAGGTTGACAACATTAAGACATCTCCATTAGCATACAGAAGGAAGAACAGAGACAAGTCCCCTAGCCTCATCTGCATGAAAGATGGGACAGGAAGACAACTCAATTTGCATACAGAATAGAGAACAGAGAACCGCACTGAACTCTGGGACCAGAAAAAGCAGGGACACACTGCATCATGGGAATCTCCACTCCAGATGTTAATGAACCTATGCTTGCTGTAAGTGTGTGCAGACTCACCCCGGTAGCACCTCCTGCTGGTCATCCAGGGAATTCGCTCTGCCAGTCTTGGTGCGCCCTCATCAGGCTGGTGTCTCACCACCACTGCTGGCTCCCATGTCCCTACCAGACCCTGGTGTCCCTTTAACTGGGTGCTGCCCCCTGGCAGTACCCCCACAATTCTGGGTCTTCCCCTCCCAGGGGAACCCCCACCCACTATCCCCACTTCACCTCAGAATGTGGCTACTGCCAGTCACCATCTAGCCCCCACTCACTGGGGCAGACTGCAATGTACATGCCATTCATCGCTGGCAAAGGGGGGTTTGGACCTGCTGCCTTTGCCTACACCAGGCTACCCATCTGTAGCCCCACTACCTGGCCTGGCCTTTATCAAGGCCTGCAGCCTGGGGGTTCTCCAGGCTGGAGCTCCCCAGCTGATCTAGCCTTTTCCCCAGTCCTGCTCTACTCTAGGTACCTTGCCCAGAGTCAAAGCAGCCAGGCCCTTCTCCCTCAACAAGCAGAGGGAAACTGTTTGCCTGCCCCTGGCTTCCCTGCCTTTATAGGGCCAGCTGAGTCTGTTTGGGGCATGGCCCCAGCTGCAGCCACTTCCCCCAATCAGCTCAGCCTTAAGAGCTACTTTCTCCAGCCACAGCCCCCTCCCAAGGCTATTTTTCAACCCCTCTGGATGGAGCAGGGTGACCACCCCGCTACACTGCCCACACCCAACTCAGCAATTATCAGACCAATTCTAGTAATGAATCCTTGATTGATATCCAAAATACTGAAGCATCCTAGTTGCATTGTGAGCTCCCTGGAAGAAAACACCACCCATAGCCAAGAGTGACCAGCTCCTATTGTCTAGCCTAAAGAAAACCCTTGAGTCATCAGTTTACCCATAAACAAATCTAGCGTTCTCCCTTGAACCATTGTATTTTCTCTACAAAAATCCCTAGAGCTCCATATGAAAACACAAGTGACACAAGCAGTACATTGATAGAATTACAGATCCTGCCCCGAGAAGAGTAACCCAAATAAATGAGCATACCCCAAAGTAACGGGCAAATATGGTAACACAGGGACCAAAGAACAACTGAGAGAATGAGAACCCAACTGTGACGGGTTGGATCACAGAAACCCCCTTGGGAGCTGCCACCCGATGTGCAAAGACTACCTCTGCTCCTGTTTTTCCTGCCAGCTCAGGACTCTAGCTCCCTGTCTTGCTGAGCCAGACACTCCCGTCTGCTCCAACACAGACCCAGCATCTGAATCACTTGTCCCAAAGCGGCAAGTTTACCTGAAAACAGCTCAT